AAGTTTGAAAATCGTGCTTAATTCATAGGAAGTGTCTTATTTATTAGTATAAAGGAGTCACAAGTGCAATAAGTAATACAAATTCGGATATAAACTATACCTGATCCGTGAAACCAAAAAATCGTTCCAACATTTTTACCACTTGCTGGAATTAGTTTTAATCGTACAATTTTTCCGATGCTCATATTCTAAATAATATATTATCTTAAAAAACGTTTAATCTAAAAAAGGAAAAAAATAAAAGTGAGGTTAGAAAAGTTGTCATTGTTAAATTATTGTTCTATTTGTTTGTTACCGATTTAAATAAAGAATTAGTCATATAAAGTTCGTTTTTAAATAATTTGTTATTGTTTGTACTTGATAGAAAGAAATCATAAGCATAAATCTTGCTTATGTAAGATTTGGACTTAAAACTAACCTAAAAAAAGTGAAAAATTTGATTTAGATCCATGACCAACAAAGCAGACTTTCCAAAAAATTGTTTTAAACTAACAAATTATTTTCATAAAAACGGTAAGAAATTGTTATAAATAATCTCTTTGTAATAATTGACCTCTTAGTAATTTCTTAATTATAAACAACATGTTCTTTAACCGTAGGGATGTCTTTTTGACGCAGTTTTTGCTTCTCTGCTTTTTTACGTGACCCGTCTTCTTCTGGGGCATCTTTTAAAAGGTTTTTTTGAATTATATCTGATTTATTTTGAGTAGTTTTTTTATTCCACCTAGATCATCTTGATATGTTGTGAAATGAAGTAAGGTTATGTTATCAGTCAACAATAATTTTTTGATTAATAAAAGTTATTTCACTTTATTTATTGATTGAAGTACTTGAATACGACAAAAAGCGGGTTTATAAACATTTCTTTTAAATATATGAGTAAATTTAATCCAAAATTGTATTTGAAAGTATAATGTTAAATTGGTTGCCTATATATCCAAAATTATAACAAATATTTTTAGCATTTCGTTCATATTGTATTAATTATTTAATAAATAATAGATAAATTTAAACAAAAAAACATATTTTATTAAGATTTCTTTAAATTTCCTCTTTCGGTGGTGGTATAATCTTATTAATCCATTTAAACAGGTCAATAAGTTGATCCTTTTTTAACTCGTGAAACGTATTTGGTATAACTTGAAATGTTCCTTTGACACCCAGCTTAGTTAATTCTTTAAAAGTGTCTTTACCCCATTCTAATTCAACCAATTGATCACTTCCGCCATGAAACATAATTAAAGGAGTATTAATAACTTTTTCAGGATGATCTCTTATTGCTTCATAAACTATTGAGTTATTATTGAGAAAAGAAGACATTGAAAATACTCCTCCTAAACCAGGTGTAGTCCTAAACGCCGTATGTAACGCCAAACATCCCCCCATAGAAAATCCACCAACAATAATCTTATTGAGAGGGATTCCCACACTTAATTCTTGATCAATTAATGAATTTATTTCATAACTGATATCATTTAAAGTTTCTAAATCTTCGTCAACGGTGGGAAGAATATCTTTTCGATCAAACCATACACTTTGGGGCTTCACAAAAAAGAGGAAATTTTAATTTTAATTAAATTATTTGTGTCTTTTAAACTTACTGCACCATTACTTGGAGTATAATATCTAATTGGGGCTGTGGGGAACATACATTTTAAATGGGGGAAAGAAAAATTTCCCATAAAAAATTTTATCCATTCATAAAAACCATCACCTGAATCACCTATTAAAGAAAATCGTGCTTAATTCATGAGGGGTCCCTTATTTATTAGTATAAAGGAGTCACATAAGTAATACAAATTGGGATATAAACTATACCTGATCCATGAAACCAAAAAATCGTTCCAACATTTTTACCACTTGCTGGAATTAGTTTTAATCGTACAATTTTTCCGCTGCTCATATTCTAAATAATATTATTATCTTAAAAAACGTTTAATCTAAAAAGGAAAAAATAAAAGTGAGGTTAGAAAAGCTGTCATTGTTAAATTATTGTTCTATTTGTTTGTTACCCATTTAAATAAAGAATTAGTCATATAAAGTTCGTTTTTAAATAATTTGTTATTGTTTGTACTTGATAGAAAGAAATCATAAGCACAAATCTTGCTTATGTAAGATTTGGACTTAAAACTAACCTAAAAAAAGTGAAAAATTTGATTTAGATCCATGACCAACAAAGCAAACTTTCCAAAAAGTTGTTTTAAACAAATTATTTTCATAAAAACGGTAAGAAATTGTTATAAATAATCTCTTTGTAATAATTGACCTCTTAGTAATTTCCTAATTATAAACAACATGTTCTTTAGCCATAGGGATCTTTTTTTGAGGCAGTTTTTGCTTCTCTGCTTTTTTACATTGACCCATCATCTTATCGGGCATCTTTTAAAAGGTTTTTTTGAATTATATCTGATTTATTTTGAGTAGTTTTTTTATTCCACCTAGATCATCTTGATTTGTTGTGTTGTGAAATGAAATTAGGTTATGTTATCAGTCAAAAATAATTTTTTGATTAATAAGTTATTTCACTTTATTGATTTAATTACTTGAATACGACAAAAAGCGGTTTTATAAACATTTCTTTAAAATATATGAGTAAATTTAATTCAAAATTGTATTTGAAAGTATAATGTTAAATTGGTTGCCTATATATCCAAAATTATAACAAATATTTTTAGCATTTCGTTCATAATTGTATTAATTATTTAATAAATAATAGATAAATTTAAACAAAAAAACATATTTTATTAAGATTTCTTTAAATTTCCTCTTTCGGTGGTGGTATAATTTTATTAATCCATTTAAACAGGTCAATAAGTTGATCCTTTTTTAACTCGTGAAACGTATTTGGTATAACTTGAAATGTTCCTTTGACACCCAGCTTAGTTAATTCTTTAAAAGTGTCTTTACCCCATTCTAATTCAACCAATTGATCACTTCCGCCATGAAACATAATTAAAGGAGTATTAATAACTTTTTCAGGATGATCTCTTATTGCTTCATAAACTATTGAGTTATTATTGAGAAAAGAAGACATTGAAAATACTCCTCCTAAACCAGGTGTAGTCCTAAACGCCGTATGTAACGCCAAACATCCCCCCATAGAAAATCCACCAACAATAATCTTATTGAGAGGGATTCCCACGCTTAATTCTTGATCAATTAATGAATTTATTTCATAACTGATATCATTTAAAGTTTCTAAATCTTCGTCAACGGTGGGAAGAATATCTTTTCGATCAAACCATACGCTTTGAGGCTTCACAAAAAAGAGGAAGTTTTAATTTTAATTAAATTGAATTGTTTGTGTCTTTTAAACTTACTGCACCATTACTTGGAGTATAATATCTGATTGGGGCTGTGGGGAACATACATTTTAAATGGGGGAAAGAAAAATTTCCCATAAAAAATTTTATCCATTCATAAAAACCATCACCTGAATCACCTATTAAAGAAAATCGTGCTTAATTCATGAGGGGTCCCTTATTTATTAGTATAAAGGAGTCACATAAGTAATACAAATTGGGATATAAACTATACCTGATCCATGAAACCAAAAAATCGTTCCAACATTTTTACCACTTGCTGGAATTAGTTTTAATCGTATAATTTTTCCGCTACTCATATTCTAAATAATATATTATCTTAAAAAATGTTTAACCTAAAAAATAAAAAAAATAAAAGTGAGGTTAGAAAAGCTGTCATTAGTCATTGTTAAATTATTGTTCTATTTGTTTGTTGCCGATTTAACTAAAGAATTAGTCATATAAAGTTCTTTTTTAAATAATTTGTTATTGTTTGTACTTAATAGAAAGAAATCGTAAGCATAAATCTTGCTTATGTAAGTTTTGGACTTAAAACTAACCTAAAAAAGGCGAAAAATTTGATTTGGATCGATGACCAACAAAGCAAATGTGGGGAAATCGGAATTATTGTGAATTACAAACCAGTTTTTATACCAAATGGTCAGTATTTTTAAGTGAAGTTGAATGACGATCAAACTACGTCGCAGAATTCGTTTAAAACTTTCCAAAAAATTGTTTTAAACAACATATTATTTTTTTAAAAACGGTAAGAATTTGTTATAACTAATTGACCTCTTAGTAAATTCCTAATTTTAAACAAACAACTCATCTCTTTGTTTTTTTCCTCTTTATATTTAATCCAAAGTCCTTAATGATGCCTCTTTTATCTCTTTTCAATAAAAATAATCATTATGATTCATTGCAATGATAAAACAGATTATACATTAAAAAATAACATATCAAACCACTTCTCCTTCAAATTTATTCCTAAACGCATAATTTCTTCCTTTAGCATAATATTTTGATCAACTTCTTATCTCAAATCCAATAATAACCGTAATTTCAATCTTTATCTAGTTTTCCTCACAATGGGCTGCTGCAAACACAAAAACGTCATAATTTTAACCACCCTAGTCTTTTTATTTTTAACAATAGGCATCCTTTCGATGTCTTTATGGTCTACAGTTTATAATAAAATTCTTGTACGTGAATTGACAATCACAAACGACTCAACGGGTTATAAAATGTGGCAAGAAACACCTGTACCTATGTATCTGAACGTGTTTTTGTTCAATTGGAGTAATGCTGAAGAAGTCATCGATAATAATTGGTCAATAAAGCCTCGATTTGAAGAATTGGGACCTTACGTGTTTAGTGAACACCACATTCGAACGAATTTAACTTGGATTAACGACAATCAGAGTGTTATTTATTATCAGAAGAGGATTTGGAAGTTTATACCCGAATTGAGTAATGGTAATTTAAGTGATAAAGTTACTAATGTAAATGTTGTTGCAGTGGTAAGTAAATTATTTCAATTTTGATTCAACCTCAGATATAACACAGTCTTACTCAAAGTAAAGTACCTAGATTATCAAAGTACCGCGGTTTGCCGCCATTTTGGCTCGAAAGTCAGCGGGAAATTTAAAATTGTATCGTTCTGTTTTTCTGTTTTTTCTCGTCGTGAAGAATCGAAAGCCCTTCATACTGCTATTTTTGCTACTCTAAAGGCAACAAGACGGCATTATTACACTTGCACTTTTGTAAATAAGTGGTGATACACTGACAAGCTGTCAAACCGCCATTTGGCTCGAATACCTGTCAAATGATGCCGCCACATTTGAATATCACGGCATCATATGATATGTGAGATTGCATCTGACGAGCTTCCAACCAGTTATAACGTTAGCTGAAACAAAGCTATAATGTCAATTATAATCTAATTATTTAATCATACCATTATTACTTTATTATACTCTTACCGAAAAATCACTTTAAAATGACGTTTTCATCTGTCATTCTGAACAAACTTTAACTTTTAAAAGTTGAAGTTAGCGGCAAATTTAAAAATATTACACGAATTGGTTAAATACAAATTGCTC